AAAACAATAGGGCCAAGTTAATCCAAAAAAGAAAAGTGCAACAATCACATTGCAGAGAGTCCAAAAACGTCTGAAAATACAGGGAAAGTTGTATATTTAAGTCATGTATTAAAGCCCTTTCTCAGTTTTCTGCAAGTTCCCAGCAGGTGGGCATTTGTGTTTTCATTTTTATGATCACCTCTGGCTCAGAACTCTTGCTTATTTTATCTGTTCCATACTGCATTAATTCAGCTCCTTCCTTGATTTCAAAAAGCAACAACAGAAATAAGTGACGTTTATTGAAGATCTGAGATAACTGGAGAGGGTTTTGCATCTCAGAAATGCAAATAACTTCAAAGAATAGAAATGCATTGTTCTTAAATGTCCTTTGGCCAACCTACCTTTGGAACATGGGCACTGGTCTCGTTACCGCCCTCTCTGAAGTGTCCTGAACTCTGGACACATGTATCTCTTCTCCTGCCTTCCCTCCTCAGTGACATCCCAACTCATCTTCCCACCACATTTGGCAACACCATATAGCTGTTTACTCAACGTGTAGAACCACCCTCCTTAGGAGGCAGTCCTCCATTCCCTGGTGGATTAATACTCTTAATCTTTTCGATAACCTTATGCAAATTAGTATCCCATCTTATCCAGAGAAAAACTGTACTAGGAGAGGTTACAGAACTTGCCCTGGAGCACTGAGCCGGTAAGTGGAGGGGCCAGGCCAGGCAGCCAGCCCCGTATTGGTCTAGGGCTCAGGCTTGGCCACATTTTCTCTAGTAGGCCAGCTGCAGGGGAATGAGACCCTCGAGGATTTGCTTTGTGGACATGGAATCAAAACAAGGGGTGTGGGGCTGTGATTAGAACTTTGATGGCACCAGGCTCTGAATGGCCGATCCAGTCATTTTCACAGTTGAGTCTCATATTAGCAGCTCTGCGATTTGAAGCAGCCTCCCTGCGTCCCTTCTGGGCAGTGCTGGGATGGGTACTGTGGATATTGACATGTCCCTCTTTTAGGTAATTTGGATCAGCCAGACTTTAAAAAGTAGGAGGGTTGGGTACATGTCATTTTGGCTGAGGCACTGTGACTAATACAGTGGTTTTAGCAATAGGGCATCATAAATAATACTTCACTAAAAATTAATAAAACAGCAGGGGTTGCAACAGCAGGGGTTGCAACAAATGCTAATAATCATTGTAATGGCTAACACTTATGGAATTACCAGGAATTATGATGAGAGTTTTGCTTGAATTATCTAATATTCACCATAACCCTAAAAATGTAAGGACCATTAAATTATTATCCCCATTTTACAGATCAGAAAACTGAGGCGCTAAGAGGCCTAATTTGCCAAGGTCACACAGCTATTAGATAATAGAATTCAGACTTAAATGCAGTTCTGACTCCAGAGTTGGCACTCTAGTTTACAAGGTAAAAACAAATTAGATCAGATTCACAGTCACTCCCCCTCATTCCAGGTTCAGAATGCTTCCCTAATAGGACAGGTCACATGACCCTGAGTATGCGCAGGGGCACATATGAGGTGAGACTGTCACCCATCATGTGAATAACTGTGGAACAAAGGTGAGAACAGTGATTGGGAGAGATGTGAGAAGGCAGGGGACCCAGATACCTCAGTTCTTGCCCCATCTCTGCATGCACAGAGGTATCTGAACTTAAGCAAGACACTTAACATCTTTCTGCCTCAAGTTCCAGTTCTGTAAAATGGGAATAACTCAGCCAGAGCCACTTAACAGCTTGCAGAAGCATTTCTACATGTTGAAAATGCTGTATGTAGCATGGGTTGAAAAATATTTATTCTAATTTAGGGTTTCAAAGTTCTCTCTATATACAGTAAAGCTGAAATCACTTCCAAACTACCCATTTATATAACATAAAGAAAACAGAAACCTAGAATTACCGACAGGGCATGACCTATATATATTAGAATGGGCTTAAATTGCATGGTGATTTCTGCCTTCCCCCATGAGACTCAGCGGGTGCCAGGCAGCCTCATGCTGCGTCCCAGCCTGCGTGCATGCTTTCTGATGCCTGGCACAGCAGGAGGGCTGCAGGGTGGCCCTCCTGAGGCAATCATCTTGATGTTTATGTGCACATGTGCTAGTGCGCTAGCTGCTGCCCCCACTCCATCCATGAAATTGGATGGATCCATGGCCCTTAACAGTTTACAAAAATATTCGTTCAGTTTACACAGGACTTTGCCTCATTTAATCCTTCCAACTACCCAAAGAAGCAGGCGAGACAAACTGTGTTATGCCCATTTTATGGATAAGGACAATTTAATCAGGAGAGGTTGACTTGCCCAAGATGCCATTAGTGGTAGAGCTGGACTAATCCCAGTGCATGACTTGCCCATGTTTTTAATCATTAATTTAACAAACAACTATTCACTGAACACCCAGCATGTCGGCTAGTGCCAGGTACTCCTACTCATCAGCTTGCTCTCCTGAGAAACTTGTTCAAACCTCCCACCTCCCACTCCCTGCCCCATGCAATCAATGAGTTTTAAGTGATGGAATGAACAAACCTACGACTACTGAGCAGGTCACACTAGGAGCTGAAACAGTGCAGCGTGACAGTTACGAGCTGTGCTCTAGAGCCAGACTGGCCTGAATCCCAGTCCTGCCACCCACTATGTCAAATCCATTTCCTCATCTATAAAATGGGGATAATAACTGTGCCAGTTCATGGGGTGGTGAGGATTGAGTTAGCGCAGGTAAAGTGCCTACTACACAGTAAGAGCTCAATAAATACTGTCATTATTTCCTTAGCATTGTCTTGAAACGAGGTTTAAAAACAACAAAACGGGCCCCTTTAATCTGTCTCATTGGCTTTAAGGCCTGGCACTGGCAGGGCAGCTCCAGTGTCAGCAGCTGTGTGGCAGGACCAGCTCCCCCATGGTTGGGGCTAGACAGGCCCCACAGCACGAAGGGGTGGCTGCCATCATGGGCAGTCTGCTGTTTGAGGGTGGCCTCCCACCCTTGAGTGTCAGATTCCTCTTCTCTCTGCCCTGTGCTTTCTGGAATGGAGCTGGAATTGTCTACATTTTCTCTTAAGACAACTATCTTCTGCCAACTCCCCTCTAATCTCCAAAAGTTCACCTTACACACTTAGTGTAGGGTCTTTCTCAGCTGCTGCCAATTAATTCATTCCAACTTTCTGAAGGCCTGCAGTGTAGGCCTGTATTGTCATTTATACAGACTCCTCCCATCTTGTTAATCAAATCATGGAACTAAAAGCCAACCTGCAAGCCATCTAGTGCTGCCTCCAGAAAAGAGCCCTCCTCTAGAGTCTGGCAGGGCTGAACAGTCCCAGCCACTGGGAACTCACTCTCAGAAGGCAGCATGAGCTATTGAAAAACTTTTCCTTCCTTTGAGCCCAAATTGGTATACCTTTGGAGTCAGAGAACATTTATTCCTTTTCCCATATGACAGTCCTTCAGACTGGTCACACAAGAATCATTTTCTCAGTGCATTTATGTATTATGTGCTTGTCAGCCAATCCTATAAAGAAACCGAGTAGGAGTTGTTTAAAAAGGTTACTCAGCTAATACTGGTGACCCCTTTTATTACCAATAGAGCTGAAACTTGATCTTAAACCCAACTCCAACTCCAGGGCTTGTCGTATACAAAGCCATCTACCTCCAAAAGAAGCAGGTTGTGTCACAGAACCTTTCGGCTGCACTCCAACACTCTAAGGAGTTGGGAGAACTCATACTGGGATTCACAAGCTTGTGAGGGGTGAAGATGCTGAGAATCCAGCAAATAAGCAACACAGATCCTACACCAGATGGCTCTCAACTGGCCCATCTGCAGGTCTGAGGTTGGCAGTGATGGAGGCTGTGAGAAGGCTTTCAGGAGTGTGAGGGTGCACATGGCCACAGACACGGCTAGGGGAACACCTCCTCTGGCTTCCGAAAAGAAGCGAGAGGCTGAGGAGGCAGGCCAATTAGTGCCCTTCTGCTGGCTTCATCCATCACGGCCTGCTCTGTGGTCAATCAATAGAGCCTTCCTGTCTTTATCCTCCTTTACTCCAAAATAGGTATCTCTCTCCCAGCTACCTATAATAACCTTAGTAGCTGAGTTAACGTTCCTCAGTTGAGCTTTGTGACTACAATTCTCCACAAAGCCAGCAAGTTCCTTCTGTTGACTCTGGTTTCTCCACTGTCAGTGAGAGCAAAGCAATGTCTCTATCTTAGTGTCTTCTGCATAGCAATTACATACAGCAGCTGAGTCCTCGAGAAACAATAGTATAAATCATACTATCTCTGTTAAACATCCCCCCTTAAAGTCTGCTTAATTTGAAAACACAGTGCTCTGTTTCTTCCTATTAGACCCCATTCTCAGTTCACTACTTTCCAGGCCCCTCCTACATGGTTAGAGGAAAAATAAAGAAAATAAAGTCACCCCAGCAAAATGGGGATAAAAAGTTTCTTGGTTTCTCTTCAGCCTCATCTGAGGGTCCAGATCAGAGAAGCAGGGTGAGCATGGGCCAGAGACTACTGGAGAAAGCAGTTGGCAAACCATGTTTAAGGCTGCCAGATTACAGAATCAGTTCACTCTCCCAAGCAGTAAGGCTGAGACGGCAGAATCCAAGATCTCTTCAGCTGAGGCTGAGCCTGAACTATAGGGAACAGCACCACAGTGATGTAACACAGTGCCCTTCATTCCATCAGCTCAGCCCACTGCAAGGTCAGGCAGATGACCTCCGAGCCCCAGCGACTTTAATGATGTCTCCTTCCAGGGACAAGGCTGGTGATGCCATGGCTTCCTCTGTGTGATTGATACAAGTGTCACAGGAAAACACCAAATCAGAGAGCCCATACCCATTAACAAACTGCAGCCCTGCCAGGGAACAGCAGAGATGAGGCAAGGGAGATTTAATTTACATAGCAGCCACTCGGGGCCCAGTGAGAGCTGGGGCAGTGGGGGGATCTATAACCCCAGAGGGCACCCCCCAACCCCTTCCACTTGGAAGACCAGTTCTCACGGACCCTTAGATGGGGCTCCTTGGATGTGCAGAGGATGCTCCAGTCAAAAGGAAAGAATGGGGAATAAGGCTGTCCCCAAAGTCGGGCGAAGTCCATGGCCTGGAGATGTTTGCCTACATGGTAGACCAGGGGTCCGAGAGATCAGTCCATGTCCTGGGCGGTGCTCAGCCTAGTGGCCCTATAGAAAGCCCTCACGGCGGAACTGTTCCTGGAGAAGGGCGCGGTACTGGTCAAATCCCCCCTCGACCCGGGTGACGCCGCCTCCTTCACACACCCACAATTCCCGGCACACCAGCCGGATGAAGCGCTCATCGTGGGACACCAGAATCACACCACCCTGAAAAACAGGAGACCAAAGGCACTCAGAGGGGCCGTCAGGGGTGTTGAGACCTGGGGAGGAGTGGGCAGTGTGAAGGCACGCTCACCCTGAAATTGTTGAGAGCATGGCCCAGAGCCTCAATCGTCTCCATATCCAGGTGGTTTGTGGGTTCATCCAGAATATAGAAGTTGGGGCTGGAAGGCAGAACCCAGGAAGGTGGTCAGTTATGGGCAGGGGGTGGGGGGGGGGTGAAAGAAAATGAACTCCTCTGATACAAAGCAAGAGAATCATTGTCTACTAGGCAAGAGAGGTAAAGGGGAAGGCAAGAGCTCTAGAAAATGAGGCCTCACCAGGGCATGGTCATCTGAGCAAAGGCTACCCGGCTCTTCTGGCCCCCGGACAAGCTGGCAACGGGGCGCATGGCCAGTTCTCCAGAGATGCCATACCGGCCCAGCTGGTGACGATACTCCTCCTCAGGCCGTCCTGGAATAGGCCCCACCCCATCATGGCCCAACTCCCTCCCTTCATCCTCCCCCAGCCCCACTTCCAAATGCCCATGTCCTTACACCTAGATTTGGGTGGGCTGCTCAGCACATCCCCAAGGTAGGTCTAGCAGTGGGCATCAGCCCTGGCCCTGTCTCCTCAACTCAAATCCCTAACACACCAGGAAACTTGCATGCCAGCAGTTCCACAGCACTGACATTCAGGTCCAGCTGATCCACATGGTGCTGGCTGAAATAGCCAATCTTCAGATTCCTGCAGGCAGAAAAGAAAGTGGAAGGGGAGATGGACGGCGATGACCATAAAGGAGTGTGGCTACAGTGTATGACTAGTGGGGAGTGGAGGTGTGGGCCTTACCTGTGAGCATGTCTGATGCCTTGAACAGGTGTCAGGTCCCCCATAAGCAGCTTCAGCATGGTCGACTTCCCAGCTCCATTCTCCCCAACCTATATGAAGAAACACGAGAGCTTTAAGGAGTGTTCATGTGTGGGGCAGAGAGATGAGAATTGGTCTCGGGTAGTTCCGGTGACTTCCAACAACTAAAAAAATATTTTTAAGAAACTAAAGAGAAAAATGAAGGTAGTAGTAAAGATGTAAAGAGAACCTAACACCTGAGTACCTACTACGTGCTGGGAATTTAATTCTCCCAATAACCAAGTGAGGTAGATGTTATCTCTGTTTTAAAGATGAGAAAACTGCTTAGTAAGCAAGCTAGGAAATGGCCAAGTCAGGATCTGAAGTCTGACCCTGAAGCCCAGGCTCTCTCAAGTTTCATGGTTTGAGAAAACTCAGGGCTGAGGCCACTAAGATAAAATACTGCTCTAAGTATTCATAAAGTACCACATGCCAAGCTTTTCATCTTAGCAGGGCAGCCCTGTGGGATGGAGGATGGGGACGGTGTAAGTACAGCCAAGTCCTTGGCTCAGGCTCTGACTCCTGTCCCTGTGGACCTCTTGCCTCTGTAGCCCGAGGATCTGGGCCAATCCACAGCACATATTTGGGGTGGGAGAGACCATGGAACAAACAGCAGCCATACCACACAGATGCGGGACTCAAGATCAGCAGAGACAGAGAGACGGCTGAAGATGACGTGCTTGGGATCATAGTAGAAATCCACCTCATCTAGTTGCAGAACTGGCGGTGAGAACTTCTCAAACCCATCAGGGAACCTGCAGGAGGTGGAGGTGAAGGGCTCCGGGTGACCAGAAATAAGAGCTTCCCCACCAGCCCCTCTGGCCCAGCACTCACTTCATCACTACCTCCAACTCCTTGTCCACAGGTTTCAGCTTTGGTCTGAGGAGAAAAGGGGCGCTCTAGATTTATGACTTTAAAAAATAACGTCATTCTTACTGTACAAGTAATACAGTTCAGAGAAAACTTAGAAAAAGCTTGTACTCCCACCACCTAGATAACATTCTTACTTTAGAGTACAATCACGTGCCATATAACGATGTTTCGGTCAACAGCGGATCAAATGTAAGACAGCGGTCCCGTTAATATTATAATGGAGCTGAAAAACTCCAACCACCTAGTGACATCATAGACATCAAAACGTCGTAGCACAACACATTACTCACATGTTTGTCGTGATGCTGGTGTACACAAACCTACTGCGCTGCCAGCTGTATAAAGGTGTAGCATAAATATGTACAGCACATGCTTAATAATGATGATAAAGGACTATGTTACTGGATTATGTATTTACCGTACTATATTTTTTATTATTTTAGAATTAGCTCTTTCTACTTATACAAATAAAGCTTGCTGTAAAACAGTGTGCTGTGTTACACCGGCAGCAGCCTCATACGTCTCATGCTTATCACTTCTCTTGACTGCATCATTTCCTCTTGTGCTTAATTTAATCTCATGTTGTTTTACAAATTTAGTGTAGGCTAAGTGTACATTGTTTACAAAGCCTACAGTAATGTACAGTAATATCCTAGGCCCTCACATGAACTCATCACTCACTCACCCAGAGCAGCTGCCAGTCCTGCCAGCTCCATTCATGATAAAGGTAGCATTTTTTATCTTTTATACTATATTTTTACTGTACCTTTTTTATGTTTAGATACACAAATACTATTATGTTACAATTGCCTACAGTATTTAGTACAGTAACATGCTGTACAGGCTATAACCATACAGCCTAGGTGTGCAGTGGGCTATACCACCTAGGTTTGCATCAGTGCACTCTATGATGTTTGCACATGACAAAAGTTGCCTATGATGCATTTCTCAGAACTCTGTTAAGCAGTGCATGACTGTATGTTCTTCTAGTTCATGATATGCTGAAAAAATAGGATTACACTTTTTGTAGTTTGTCTTCCCAGTTAATATATTACAATATATGTTTCAATGTCACAAAATCTTAAGCCTTACGATTTTAGGGTCCCCTAACACCAGCACTTCTAGAAAGGTTGCTTCAAGATTAAACCTTCAATGCTCATCATCCTTAGTCATGAAAGAATGCAAATCAAAACCACAATGATATATCAAGTCATACCCACTAGGATGGCTAAAATTAAAAGACAGATAATAGGGCCGGTCAAGTGGTGCACTGGTTAGGAGTTGGCTTGGGACACCAGCTCTGAGCAGCAGGGCCCCGGTTTGGATCCCACATTAGGGCCAGCAAAGCTGCGCCCTCTACAGCTAAGATGGTGAGCAACAGTTGAACCTGGAGCTGGGCTGCCCTGAGTTGCCGGCAACGGCATAGGCTGCAGTGAGGCTGGCTGGCAGCAGGTGTGAGCTTTCGTGAGCTGCCATCCAATGGCCGGCGAGCGACTGCCTCACCTGGGAAGAGCTCAATGATAATACCAACATGGGCTAGTGAAGCAACGTCCTCCACAACTAGGACAGCAACAAAAGGACAGCAACTTGTCTGTTCCCCAACGCTGTTCCCCTCCCCCAATTCCCCAATAACATCTTAAAAATAAATAAATAAATAAATAAAAGACAGATAATAAATGTGGATAAAGATATGGAGAAATTAGAACCCTCATACAGTGCTGGCAGGAATGTAAAATGGCACAGCTGCTTTAGAAAACAGTTTGGCAGTTCCTCAAAAAGTTAAACATAGAATTACCATGTAACCCAGCAATTCCACTCCTAGGTATATACCCAAGAGAACAGAAAACATATATGTTCACACAAAAACTTGCACACAAATGTTCACAGCAGCATTATTCATAAGAGCCAAAAAGAGAAAACAATCTAAATGTCCATCAACTGATGAATCAAAAAACAAAATGTGGTGCATCCATACAATGGAATATTATCTGGCCATAAAAAGCAATGAAGTACTGATATGCGCTATAACATGGTCGAACTTCAAAAACATTATGCTAAGCTAAAGAAGCCAGACACAAAGGTCATGTTGTATGATTCCATTTATAGTAAATGTTTGGCATAAGCAAATATATATAGACAGCAAGTAGATTAGTGGTTGTCTAGGGCTGGGGACAAGATTAACTCGTTGAGAACAGTATAGAATACTCTTCTTTTCTGCAGGGAAGGGAGTTCAAGTTGGTTTCTAGAAAAGTGGAAGCCTAGAATGGGAGGGCAAAGGGTGGCCTATAAAATGAGGCAAGAAATTAAGAGAACAGGAATTAGGGCCTGGTCAACGACACTGTACTCACAGCTTATCCAGCATCTTGATTTTACTCTGTACTTGAGAGGCTCTGTTGGCATTGTAGCGAAACCGGTCAATGAAAACCTGCAGGTGGATGAGCGCAGGCATTGGTCAGGCTCCTTCACTCGCTGTCGCTCTTAATACTCATGGGATGGGGCACCCAGCCCTGCCTGCTCCCACACCTGGATATGCTGGCGATACTGCTGTTGTGCCTCATATTCACGCTGCTGGTTGAGTAGCCGCTCCTGCTTGGTCTTGATGAAGGTCTCAAAGTCTCCCCGGTAACCATCTAGCCGCTGGCTGTGCAGGTGGATGATGTCTGTGGCTATGGCATTCAGGAAGTTTCGGTCGTGGGAGACGACCAGGATTGTGGAGGGCCACGTCTGAGGGGGTCAAAGGATGGCCCAGTTTGGGAGGGAAGTCAGTTCCCAGCACCCTCAAGTGTCTTGGAGGCAGGCTTTCTCTAGACTTACTCCAACACCTGTAGGCACTCACCTGCAGGTAATTCTCCAGCCACAGGATGGCCCTTACATCCAGCATGTTTGTGGGTTCTGGAAAAGTGAGGGAAGACACATTTGGGATTGAAAGGCTAGCGAACCAGGAACTTGGGTGCGGCCACCCTTCCACACCCTAAAGCCAGGGTGCCCCATTTCAAACTCACCATCTAACAGCAGAAGATCAGGCCTATGGAAAAGAAGAATGCAAGGCTTGAGATTTTAGGTCAGTGGCTCACTATTGCCTCCCAGGAACCAAGGCCCACCTTCCATAGTATCCATACACAGGCCCAGAAGACTCACCTAGCAAACAGGGCCCGGGCAAGGGCCAGTCTCATCCTCCAGCCACCTGAGAACTCCCTAAACAAAGACAGAGCTGCATCAGAGGTGGGTGCTCACCAGGGCAGGCAGGTGAGCCAACAGTGTTCAGAGCCAAAAATGGCAAGGGCCACTCACTCACCGGGTGGGCTGCTGCTGCATTTTAGGTGTAAAGCCAAGCCCAGCAAGAATGACTGATGCCCTATGAGTGAAAAAGTTGAAGAACCCAGTTATAACAGGTAACAGAGGAAAAGGTGAAATGTGAAGGAAGAAAGGGGGTATTTCAAATACCTGGCAGGTGCTTTGTCAGCCTCAATCTCTTCCAATTTGGCATAGATTTCTGCCAGCTGTGCCGCTTCTGCGCCCTCGGCCCTGGGGTGGGAATGGGGAGGTAAGAGCAATCAGCCTGAATGGGGGCAGTCCAAGAGGACGCACCCTATGCAGTTGGAAAGCAGGCTTCTGGCTGCATGGTTGCTGGGACAAGAATAGAGTACAGGGAGGACCTGCTCACAGCAGTGAGGGCTGTGGGCATTGTGGGAGGAACAATGGTTTGAGAGCCTCACAGTGTTAAGTTCTAAGCTGTGCTGCATACTGGGATGGGCATGCAAACTTCCGATTGTGAGAGTATGGCAGGAACTCTGCGAAGGATAGCTGTGCCTCATATTCACGCTGTTCTTTATTCCCTAGCCCAAAACCCTCACCTGCCAGCAGCAATGAGGGCGCTAAGCTCCCGCTCCTGCCGCAGAAGGTCTTCTCGCACAGTGTCACTCTCCAACACACTCTGCAGGGCAGGGGTGTCATCTCCAGCAACCTCCTGCTCTACATGCAGCAGCGAAATATGGGCTGGAACCCTCAGGCTCCGGGTGGCCAGCATCTTCAGCAGCGTCGTCTTCCCTAGCCCATTCCGACCCACCAGCCCATAGCGGCGGCCCCAGGCCAGGTTCACATCTGCACCAGCCAGCAGTACCCTGCAGGGGGAGCAGAAAGAAGACAAAGGGTGCTCTAGTCGTAGGTGCACAGTAAGTCTAACATTATTTTAGAAACCTAACATTATTTTTAGCCCCATTTCATCTCTCTAAATTCTCCCTTAACTGGAAACACAAAGACATCACACACACCCCCCACGGCCACTTCCTCACCTATCACCAAAAGACACATCAAAGTTCTCAATTCGCACATCGTAGGATTTGTTCTTGCCCGATGACTCCAACCGACTCTCTTTTCTGCTGCCTGCCTGGCTGGCTGATGCCTCTTCCAAGACTCTTTTAAAGGAAAACATGGATGGTTTTTAGCACTCCCAACCACCCTTCCATCCCTACAGAGACGGCTCTACTCTTTTCTCAACCCTTCTTGTTAAACTTACAGAGGGTTGCTAGTCTTGAGTGTGTCCTTCTCTGAACGTTTCTCCTGCTTTGCCTTCAGTCGAGCCTCAGCCTTCTCTAGCTTCTTTGCATTCACTGTCTAAGGGTCCAAACACAACCATTTCACCCCAAGGTGTAGGTTTAGAGAGGAACCCCCAGAAAGGACACCTCAAGTTACCCCTCTCAATTCTGTTCATAATGAACAGAATTAAAGACTCAGGGAACGACAATCAGAAATCCCCCAGAAAGATATTCCAGTATTTAGAGACAGTCAACTCCTACCCCAACCATAGACACAGCCCTTTCCCTTTCTTCCTCCTTCTCACCGAGGATTGTTCCCTCTTTAGCAGTCCTGGAAGGTTGGTGCCACTGTCTGTAAGCGATAAGAAAAGCAGTCACCTTCTACCTGAGGGAAGGGAAACTAGCATTTTGAGTAACTAATAGGAACCAGACACAGACATTTCCCTGAAAGACAATACTAAAGATAGATAGCTATCCTCCTCCCTGCACCTAAATGAAAAAAGTATCTCACGGATTAAGGATAGAGAGACTGGGGCATATAAGCAACTCTTACAACAGCATGCAGTTGATGAGCAAGTCACAAAACTGGAGGGAGCATGAATCCAAGTTTGTTTAATTCCAAGGCCCATATGCTTCCTACCATTGCCAAGAGCTTGGTGAACCCTCCAATCCTACTCCCTTCATCAATGGGCTCTTCTGCCTTCAATAGAGACATCAACTAACTTCTACAATCTTGTCCCATGTTAAAGAGGTACCAGGAGTCCTGAGCTCCAGGGGTCAGGTGGCTGGGGGCTGGAGGCTGAGAAAAAGGAGAGGGTAGCTAGTTCAATCTTCCCTTACTCTCACCGTAGTTCTCCGTTATTTTTGACAACTGGATGGGGGCGTCTAGTAGCACCTGGCTGTTTCCCTGGCTCTGTGGCTCAGCCCTTGACGGTAGGGACAGAAAGCGCAGAGTTAGAATTTGAGGAAAAAACTCTATGACCATCAGATCGTCTTCCCTCATCTTCTGTCTCCTGACCGCAATTCCTCCCATCACCCCCACAAATAACCCTGCCCTGGCACGTACAGTCGCAGAGTGTTGTACATGCGCTGGCACACTGCTCTGATGCCCGCGTCATCCTTGCTGTCCCCGGACACTTCTTGCAACAGTTCCCCCACAGCTTCCACCAGATCATCCACAGATTCGAAGTCCGCGCTGCCGCTGTGCAAGACGCCTGGGCCAGGCGTGGCAAGACGAGAAAGATACCGGGTAGGGTAGACATGCAAGCAGCTTTAGTCCCCCAACCTCGGCCTCAGTCCCGGCTCCAGACCGAACCGGCCCTAGGAACAAGAGGTCACGCAGAGGAGAGGCCTAGTAGCGGCCTCCAGCACTGCCCTCCCGTAGTTTTTATCCCCGACTTCCACTTTGGCCTCCCCAGCGGTTTGAGTCAGTTTCGCTCACCCGTCACGTAGTCGAAGACCTGTCCGTCAATTTCGGGGAACTCGCTCCGCAAAATTTCAGCGCAAGTCGCCATGTTCCAGTAGGGCCCCCGTCTGCGCAGTCGCGCTGAGACCTCGGCCAAGGCCCGCCCCTTACCCTTCCCAAAAACTGGCCCCTCCTTCCAAGGCGCATGCGTAGTGCTGTCGTAAGAAAGGCGAGGAGTGCGCGGAACCTGTAGGCGGGATGAACCCGGCTGAAGAAACCTTGCGCAAGCGCCCCTGTGTACGCCGTAGCTGCTCTCTGCGCTTGCGCAACGCTTTTTCTGCTGAAAAACTAGCCACGTGGGGCTCTCGCTGCTTTCTGGGAGGTAGAGATGAGAAGGCTGCAGCAGGGCAACTCGTGGTTTATCAGGGTGGGAGACACTGGAAGGACCGGTGGGCGGGAACCTCCAGAGAGACAGGTGGTAGATTAAAGCAGTGTGGCTTGTTTTTGTGTGCAGTTGGTAGAATGTCTGAGCCTGAGTTAGAGCAATGAATGAATACACATTAAATTTCTTAGCTATGTCGGCAAGAGTGGAAGTGAAATCAGGGACCTGTCTTTCCAAGTTTAGCGGGATAATGCCATGAAGAAAACAGTAGTGTACAAGTGGATTAAACATTTTTTTGAGGGGAGAGAACGCGTTACTGATGAAAAAAGGTCAGGGCGGCCAGTGACAATCAGAATTGATAAAAACAATGCAAAAATTTGTTGTATCGGGAGTCAGAATCGTCGGCTGACTGTGAGAAGCATAGCAGACCAAGTAAACATCTATAAACAGTCAAGGAAATCTTAACTGAAAATCTTGGCATGAGAAAGGTGTGTGCAAAAATGGTCCCAGAGGAGCTCACCGATGAACAAAAGCAGAGTCGAAGTTTGCCAAGACCTTTTGGAGAGGCAAGACGATGTTTTGGGCCCTGTTATATCACTGGTGGTGAAACATGGGTGTACCAATATGACCCTGAAACAAAGTGTCAAAGTGCACAGTGGAACTTAGCCAATTCTCCACTACCAAAAAAAGTCCTGTCAGTCCAAATCGAGTCAAAATGATGTTGCTAACCTTTTTTGATATCAGAGGGATTATTCATTATGAATTTGTACCAACTGGACAGTTAATCAAATTTACTATTTGCAAGTGCTGAAAAGGCTACATGAAAAAGTTAAACAACCTGAACTGTTCAACAATTCATGGCTCTTGCATCACAATGCACCAGCTCACATGGCATTGTGAGGGAGTTTTTAGGCAGTAAACAAATAACTGTATTGGAACACCCTCCCTACTCACCCGATCTGGCCCCCCATGACTTCTTTCTTTTCCCAAAGATCAAGGAAGTATTGAAAGGAAGATATTTTGATGACATTCAGGACATCAAGGGTAATATGACAACAGCTCTGATGGCCATTCCAGAAAGAGTTCCAAAATTGTTTTGAAGGGTGGACTAGACGCTGGTGTAGATGCATAGCTTCCCAAGGGGAGTACTTTGAAGGTGACCGTAGTGATATTCAGCAGTGAGGTATGTAGCACTTTTCCTTGGATGACTTCACTAACTTAATTGTATGGGCTTCCTTCAGGCTTCTGCTGCTGCGCGCCCAGCTGGGTCCATCTTGGAGCAAGCTGAGAGCTTTGATGACTCATGCTCGTCCCTGAGCTCTCAGAAGCCCCAGCTGCGGGTTTTGTTATGGTTCCCAGGCTTTACAAGCTTGTCCCAGTCTAGTGACCAGCCTGCCCAACGGCCCGTGACCTTGCACTCTGTGTGAATTATGCCCATTCAATCCTTCCACCACCCCAGGGCACAGCCTCACTCACCGCCAATGGGCAAGAAAACCAGATCCACAAAATGGCCTGTGCAAATTCACTGGCATTAGTCCCTACTTACACCCAAAGCAGACTTCTCTTCACCCTGAATCTCAGTAAGTGACTGTAAAAAAGTGAATTTCCTTTCACTGATTCCCTCAGGTAAAAGTTAGGAAGGAATTTTCCCCAAATGTTACTACTGCTTTACATTTAACGTTAATATCCTTCCAACCCTGCTCTAAAGCTAATATGACATCATTATCCGCTCAATAGTGTAAGGAAATCAATTAATTCTGATAAAGTTATAGAAGCTATTAAGCCCCTAGATCTAATAACCACTTTATAGGAAATGCAGGGAAAGAGGAATTCTGGCTACTAACAGGGAAACTACATAAAGAATTATCTGGTTTCTTCAGCAGCATTGCAAGAGCTGAGGGAGAACCTGTGGTTTACAAAATTTAAGAAGCATTCACCAACTACAATGAACCTTGTTTGGATCCAGATGCAAGTTGTAAAAAATTTTATAGGGTACTTAGATTAAGTGTGAACACATTCGGTGTGATATTAAGGAATTGGCCATGAGTTGATATTTGTTGAAGTTGGATGATGGGACATGAGGGCTCATTATATTTTGCTACTTCTGTTTATTTTTTTATTATTATTTTTTAATTGGGGCATTGGGGGGATGGGAACAGTGCTGGGGAATTGGGGAAAGGGGAATAGACAAGTCACTGTTGTTTTGTTCTTTGGGGGGATGGGAACAGTGCTGGGGAATTGGGGAAAGGGGAATAGACAAGTCACTGTTGTTTTGTTCTTCAGTCTAGTTGTGGAGGATGTTGCTTCACTGGCCCAAGTTGGCACCATCATTGTGCTCTTCCCGGGCGAGGCAGATCAGTCGCCGGCTTCTGGACGGCCGCTCACTGCGGCTGCTGGCCGCTCACGCTGGCTGCTGGCCACACACGGTAGCCCATGGCAACCCACCGCCACAGGGACTGCAGCCTACGCCGTCGCCGGCGACTCACGGCAGCCCAGCTCCAGGTTGAGCTGTTGTTCAGCAGCTTAGCTGTGGAGAGCAGTGTCACTGGCCCTCATATGTGGGATCTGAACCGGGGTCCTCTGGCGTCCCAAGCCAGTTCTTAACCATCGTGCCACTCGGCAGGCCCTACTTCTGTTTATTTTTGAAATTTTCTCTAATAGATTTGTTTTAGGTTTAAAGGGCTGAAACCAAGCAAGGGAAACCCCGTGAGGGCTAATCTGCTTTTATCAGCGTCACACCAGCAGAACATGGAGCATAACTTCCCCCTCAGGCACTAGCTCGTCATACTATTCTTTAAAGAGGGTATGGTACAGAAAGGAGGAATTTTTCAAGAAGCCTGGGAGTCAAATCTTCCCATTTGCCACCCAAGCTACCAAGGTTTGGGAAGCCTGGGCATTTGGGAAGAGAATGGGATTAAAGTCAGTAAATTTCTCAGGAAGGCTGAAAGAACAAATGTAAATTTGGTTTAATCTCTAACTAGAAAATACCTGCCTAAGGCTAGGGTGAATTAGGGAAAGAATCTCTACCCTCAGGAGCTGGGGCCAGGAGGGATGCTTGACCTTGAAGTAGTTTTCTCTTCAGAGGATAGAGAAGACCTCGGACTAACACAAATCAGGATTAGGGACTGGATGGCCTTGGAGGGGCCTAACAATTGAGACCAAGATAAGGGAAGAGCCTTGAGGAGCTCATATAGAAAATTCTACTCAAAGCAAGCAGTGTAAGACATGGGAAGAGCAGTCGCACTAGTTCCCCTCCCCATGTAGCTCCCATATCAACACTTAGCCAGCAATTCCGCTCTACAGTTTATTGGGTTTTTAACTGGACGAAGTCACACGTGTACAAAATGAAGCTCACACTATCCCAAAGCAGAGTAGGGATTGAGGGCTGGGAATCTGTTACTGGCCATTGGGGGAGCTCTGAGGTGAGGGACAGCCAACCCTCCCACTCAAGAGACGTGGCCACAGGGGAGGGGAGGAGAGGGAGCCCACCTGGCTTTGGTCATGGAACTCAGAGCCTGGCATTAGGCCAGGGCAGACATGGATGGAGAAGCAGGAGCCCCAGAAACCACCTTGCCCATGGAGCCCAAGGACAGCTCCACCAGTCCCACTCACGATGTGGTTGGTCCAGACCTAGACTCGGGCTGATGCAAAGGGAAGGCATCGAAGCAGGAGGGAGGAAACACTGATGTGTGGTGGCAGGGGGCACTTGGACCTGTGGAAGAGGGTGGATGGGGAGGCAGGCTAACTGCTACTAGGCAGCTAGCAGCGGGTCTCATAAATGCCGCTGCGGCCAATGTAGCGCACCCATTTGATGACATCATGGTCGCTGTAGTTCAGCTTCGGTTCAAACACCTTCAAGTAGCGCACCTTGAGGCCAGAGGGCGCGAATGGCACCTGGGCAAGGGATGGCTCCAGTTAGAAATGTGGCCTTCCTCTCACAGCCACTCTCCTCTGGGAAGTTCTGTAGCCCTGACCTGCTTCTTGTCTCTCCTATGGGTGTTTGAATGATTAGGGTCCTGAAAGAAGCTAGAGGAAGCTGGGGTAGTGAGGGGTCCTCTTAAAAGGTTACTAAAGAAGAAAGCATGTCCAAGAGTAACTAGCAATCACTTGGGTTTAAAGTCAGGCCTTACCTATGATAACTTGAATCAATTCCTTTAATCTGCAGGAAGGAGCAACCAAGACCTGCCTTAGAACATACTCATCTTGTTCGGTATCATGGACTTAAAAAATAAGGTGGAGAAAATTGTATGTCCAACATACACAAAGCAAAGTCAAACCATTTTCCTGTAAGTAAACTTGGTGTCTTATCTGGTATTCAAGCAATCTAAAATTTTCCAAAGGTTATCTTACGACAAGCCAAAAGAAGTCAAATATTTTTGTTAGTATGAATAGCAATTTCTGGTTAGAGGCCTGAAGGGGGGAGGAAATAGGTCTATAAATTAAAGTCACTTCCCCCCTCTAGGCCTGTTTCCTCATCTGCAGGTGGTAAGGGTTTAAGAGGTTGATCTGAATCATCTCTAAGATCTTTCCTAGCATACCCTGCTATGGCTCTAGGCCCCTCTTCTGCCATACCTCAAAATTCATGGAAATGGGGGGTCGAGCCCACTTCTTCTTGTCGTTGGTGGGCAGAAGCTCAATCTCTGCGCTGATCTGTGATTCCTTCATGCCTGCCATGCGTTTGATCCTGGGAACACAGGGGCAAAGGGCAGCAAGTGCCCCTGGTAGATTGGAGGAATTTCAAGGGGGTTGGGGGTGGAGAACCCAGTAGCTTTGGGGAGGTGCTAGGACATGGAAATGTGGTGAGGACCTTGATAACCACTTGCTATAGAACCTTGGGCCTGCTATTCCTTTAG